ATAATTGAATTTATAATGACATGTATGACTGCAAAACACTGACACTTTTTGACTGATAGGCTAATTGAATCTCTAGACATGACATGAGTTTGAAGGGGAGAATATGTGAATTAATGTGATTTTAAATTAATTTTCCTCTTCATCTCAAAGGATCCTTGTAGTGAAGCCCCGGTAGAGTAAGATTTCATAATGGTGATTGACGTCGTAGGGTAAAAATTTGATGGATTCAAGTGATTATTTACCTGGAATATGTTTATTTGGTAATCATCGTCTATTTTATTTGGGCAGGGCATCAATACATCGGTTAACTGTAGAAAAATACACACTTTACCTTTATCTGAAGCATAGCCCAATTGCCTCCTATGCACTGTACCATAGGAGGGAATTGCCTTGTGATTTTTATAATCATGTTCATAAAATAAACTTTACTGATTAGATAGAAGTATAGAAAAACTATATTTATGGAAGTCTTTCTTCAAAGAAAGAAAGCAAACAATCATCAAAAACATCCCCCAGGGTTATAGGAGACAAAGCCTCCCCAGGTGTACCCATCTCAACAGCCTGTTAAACAGATCCTATGAGGAAGGTGCCGAAGACGCAGCAAAACTGCAAGTTCATTTTTTTCTGATAACAGACCCTTAGAAATTCTGAGATTCTAACAGGCGGATCCAGGTGTGGAAACAAGCTGGGGTTCAAAAGCAAGTTGAACTCAGCTCTGCTGTGAAAATATTTTCATGTTTAGATAACTTGCCAATGATAAATAAAGTGTTTTGGAACAGTAGCTGACCCGTAATCTTAGCCTAGTCCTCACCCACCATATGACACAGTACTCAGATTGAGAAAGAATCAGTTAAAATCAACCCAGATTTATGTGGGGTTTTTTGTTTTGTTTTTTCCTTCTTCCTCCGCCTATCTTTGCCCTTATTCTTCTCCTGTGGTTTTACAGGCTCTTGCCAACCTCAAAAAATAACTAGGAATGCTAACATTGATTAATAGTTTTGCCATGAGTTTCCTGGTGTGAGTTCCGGATCACTCTCATCATTTACTCAAGCGTTTCTTTATGGAATGTTAGATGTCAGCAAATGACCCTCTTATAATTGGCATTCTGAAAGAGGCACAATTGTTCTTTTAACTAAAAAGGCAACATTTAGTACCTGCAGTGAAGATGAATTCATACATGCCGACATCCATTTGTCTTTTTTGTTTGGGGGGAATAGATTGCCCTCTAGAAACAAGAGAAATTTCATCACTAGATATTTTAAGAAAAAGGTCAAGATTATATGTTCTACTTATCTCAAACAACATCAGTCTTCTGGTTTAATTGCAGCAGAATGCATTACTGTAGTCTTGAAATAAATGTTTATCACAATAGTGATTTAATTTTAGGTAAAATGGGTATTTAAATGGGTAGTAGATGAAACCAAGGATTTTTTAAATGGCTTGTTATTTTGAACAGGGTAGGTCTATTTCATCATGTGGTCTACTTCATCCTGGTTTCTAATAGGAAGAAAGAAAATGAAGATTTCTTCATCCATTTTCCAAGTAGTAAATTTCCATTGGTAAATATTTATAAGTTGTACATTAGCAAGCTGAACTTTAAGAGGAGGTTAAGGGCTTTTTTTCTAGCATCAGGGATGGACATTTTAAACATATTGAGACAGCATTTACTGGCTTGCTTCTTATTTTAAAAATAACCTCCAATATAACATTTATTCTTTTGTACCTATAACATATTAATTTCGTGCCTACCCTTTTTGTTCTTAATTGGTTACAAATCTGTCTGCCATCTTTACTAGGTTATAATTATCTTGATGTCTGTACTGTAACTTACTCATTTCCATGTTTATAAAATCCTGCCTTGGGACTTATTTCATGGGCATTCAATAAATAATTGAGTATATTCTGACTCCTGCTACTCTGTTGTCATTTTTATTGGTAGTGTTTTGATTGTTTCCATAAAATAAAATATTATAACAATTTGGCATCTTTTGCACCAGTATTTAGAATTAAAATATGTAGGTAAAGAAGTTACATAGTGAAAAGAACTCGGCATTTGAAAACAGAAAGATTTGAATTGGGCAATCTGGTAGTTTAGTCAGTGTTTTGTAAATTCTGTAAAGCATATCTTGGTGGGATACATAAAATATAATTTTTAAAAGGAAATAGACTAAAAAAACAAAGGATTTTATATTGTTTCAAGAATCTTTTTTGTTTCAGCTATATATAGAGAGAGAAAGACATACATCTGTGTGTGTGTATGTGTGTGTAAAACTGGGCCACAATGTAAAATGTAGGTAGTCATCAAAAAAGTTTAAAAAATACTGAACTTTAGATATTTGAATGTTACTGATAATTCTGAACCTCACATTCTTCATCTGCAAATGGGGTTAAGAATAACGATTTTGAAGGTTTATCATGAGGGTTAAGGGCAGTAATATATGCAAAGTACCTTGCACAACATCTGATATATATAGAAGACAAGCGAAAGAGGTTGCCCTTTACCAAAACTAATCCATTTAAAATTTAGTTGATTAGGATCCTTTTAAGTGTATACAGAATTGCATCAAGACTTTAAATTCATTAAACTAATTTTTAAAATACTTTCTGATTTGGAAGACAATGATTTTTTTAAATTTATCAATAAGGACATTGCTTAATTAATTCACTTTGTTTACTGATTTTTCTGTGCAGTCATCCCTTTTCAATTCAGTGTAAGTGTTTTTAATTTACTCATCCATTCACTCAAGTAATATTTTTAGAAGTTGAAATACATCCAAAGAAACATGACAGAAATTTTTAGGAGAATCCAAACTTGTCCTATAAAGAACAGTTAAAGAATCTGGTGAAAACCGATGGAAAAGAATATGTAGGATGATACTGATTTCATGTATTAAAAGGATTGCCTCATACCAGAAAGATTAAATGCATGCATTCTTGGCAGAAGGAAGAATGAAGACCAATTTATTGGAAGTTATGGGACAGTAGATTTCAGCTCAAAATAAGAAACAAAGAATTATACCTGAGACTTGTTCCAAAACATTATAGCTACCTCAGAAGGTATGTTCCTCTGAGAAAGCAGGGTGGGTATGGTTGGATTGGACATCATGTAAATTATCTTTTACCTTGAAGATTCTGTGATTTTTAGACAAGCTTTTTTGGGCCAGACATCCTGGTAGGCCATATATTAAACTTTTGTTTGACATTGAAGAATCCCATGTGACATATGCAAATCAGATATTTTTTGCATAAATGGACCTTAAAATTTAGTCCTAAGGATCTTGCATATTTTTATCTGTGAGAGAATCTATGAATTTATCAGGTTGTTTATCTCTGACTTTATTCTAAATGTCTTCCTTTTTCATTTATTGCATTTGTCTTGAGTGCTTAATTAGAAACAAAAGTAGAAATCTATCCATTTGGTCATTTTTAGCAGTTCTAGGTGTAAATCTTGGTGCAAATATAGACAAGATTGGGGAATGTGAGCATGGGAAAGAAGAAAACTTACAGGCAAACTGATGGTGGCTGGAAGAGAACAGTAACTGTTTTTAGAAAGAGGGTGATTAGTTAGTATCACCAAGAAGCAAACCCAAAAAAGGAATATGGTGACTATAGGGGAGGATTTATCCGTAGCTTTTGGGAATGCTTTCAGTGGCTTTAGATCTTGTTGGGAAAATAGCATAACTTAAAAGATATCCTAGATCATAATGGAGTTTTAGCACCTAAAAAGCGACTCCCTCACCTCTGAAACAATTTATAGATGAGGAATTTGAACTGTAAAGTTGGTGAACTGATAGTCTAAGTAGTGTAGAGCTAGGATCAAAACATATGCTTCTTGACTTTGAATCCACTGTTCTAATACCAGTCTTGATGAATTATTGTCCTTAAACATTTCCCTTGCATCTGATGGCCCCAGGTAGCTGAAACTTTTCCCTCAGGTGTTTTAGCCATGGGTTATAATTAGGTCTAGGATCTTCTATTTGTCACTATCAGTGGTAATGAAGATTAGCTTTGTCTGAACAAATTATTCTGAATGAGGCCTTAGGGATCTTCTCATTCAGAATTTTTCAAATGTTATTTTAACAGTGAAGCCCTTTCTTCAAATAATATGTATGCAGGAGGAACTTAATACATAAAGCAGATTTTTAAAAAAAGGTAGATGATCTAGTTGAAATGAGTATTAGGAAACTTGGACCACTGCCTGCTCCTACCTCTCATTCCACCACCATACAACCACTAGGCTTCCAAGAAGTACCATAATTAAAAAAAAAAAAAACTAATGTATTGCCTTTGTCTTACAACCAAGTCTTCCTTAAATGCAGGGGAAAGAGAAAATTAATTTAGGACATTCTAGTAGAAAATTTATTCTGTGTAATATGGCCGTTAGCAGGGGATTGCAGTGAGCATGACTCCAGGAGAATCCAGGGGATGGGAAGATGTAAGTAACTATGAGGAAATTGGCCCTTATGCTGCTCAAAACAGACTTAAATATTAATTAGTTTAAAAGTGTAATTGACCCATCATTTCTAATACTTTTTTCAAAGAAAACAAAATCTGTGAAAATCGACATATTTCTCTGAATATAACTGTTAGTGCTGATGTGAAATAATTTCGTGTAGATGCCTTGTAAGGTCTGCAGCAATGGCTTTTTTCCAGGGAATTCTGCAAAATAGTAAGCGGTTTGGACAAGCCACCCTGTAATCTGATAGGACAGTGTCTTTAAAAGAAGAGGATGGTTTTCCTTTTCATGGATTTTCTGGAAATCAGCTGGAGCCTCCAAACCCTTCCCAGGATAAGGTTCAGTGATCTCTGGTTAAGGGAAATGGAAGAGGGGCCAAGAACAAGCAATCATGATTTATATAGTTACCCATCGGAGACTTAGTCCCAAGGCTAGGTTTAGTTGTTACTAATGTTTTTAATGATTACATTGCCAGTGAGCTCATGTCTTATAATTTCCCGGATCCTGAGGCTCCCTCAAGGTGGTGATATGTTTATAACCTGCTTCAATGCTTTTTCCGTCCTGAATCCATGAATGAATGTTTAATAGTATCTGCTACTTCCATGTCTGAAGACTCTTCTTGCCCAGTACCACTGACTATCTTAGCACATGAAGGTAACTCTCCCTCGGGAAGAAAATGAGTCTGTGTGCCAGTGGTGCCAATCACCAGCACGTTTTTCTTCAAATCAATGGAACACTGATGTCTCTTGAGCATGTCTAGGCCTAGAAGCATATCCATGGGCTGCTCTTCCAGTATAGAGAAAGAGCATTGTAAGAAATCACCTTCAATCTGAATCTGAGCTAGATGAACACGGCCAATAATTCTCTGCGTGCCGACGCCTTTAGCAACCCCAGCCCATCGTCGATCCACCAGCCTCATGATGTTACATCTGTCGGCACAAGCTTGGCTCATAATGGTCATCTGGGCACCCGAGTCAACAAAAGCCTTCAGAGGATGTCCATTCACTTTGCAGTTAATGTAGAGCATGGCCACTTGTCCGAAACTCTCCGGAGCCTCTTCCATCGCTATGTTCATGTTTTCTTCAATGTTTTGCTGCCGGATTTCTTCTTCTATTTTGGCCTGAGCTTCCAGATCAAATGGGTCAGCAGAGTAGAGGCGAAGCCTCTCTTGCTCTCTCAAAGTCCTTTCCCATTGCTGCTCCATCAGGACCTGAGAAAATGTCTCGAGGTTCCCGCTGAGCAGAGCTTCTGCCAAGCGGGGGTTGCGTTCCTTCAGCAGGGACAGATCGTGCGGATTGGACAGCAGCATGCTGCGGATCAGGGTGGGGCTGTCCAGACCCCGAGCAGATGCCACCTTCTTCCCGCCGGCCAGCCGCTGGGACTGCTGGGCTGCTGGGGCGCGCTGAGGCTGCTGCTGCTGCTGCCGGGAGCTCGACGTCCCGGGCACAGCAATGCCACTGAAATCCATTCGGGGCTGGTGTGGGGCTCGTCCTGGAGGCCGGGGTCCCGCAATCTCCTTCTCAAGTAAAACAACTACGTCGCCGTCTTTGAGGCCGTAGGCGCCCAGGGAGCAGTGGTCGTCAGCGAGGAGCCGCTCCATGTGGATGACCTGCATGTCTTCAGCGGGGACTCCGGACTCCAGCTCGCAGAGGACCCGGAAGTTGCGGAGTTCAAAGTCAGGGCTGACCTGGAGGGTGAAGGTTACCTCGGAGAGGTCCCTCCGCACACAGTACGCGGTGATCAGCATGGCAGGGACCCAGGAGGGCCAGGTGGAGAGGGCATCGGGCGTTCACTGGCTGGCGGGGCTGGTCTCCGCTGGTGGCTGGGCCGCTCTGCACGTCGAGGTGTGTCCCTGGGGCTCATTCACCTCTCAAAGAGGCGCAGACACGCGCCCGTCTGGGGGCTGCCTCCCAGCCTCAGTGCCAGCTCCTTGGCCCCATGGAGCCTTGAGGTAGCACGCGGGGTTCCAAGGTTCATTTGCATGTGTGCCGATTGGAACTTAGAATGCTTATTCCCCTAGAAACAAAGGTACTCAAGGCCATTAGGTTCCCAGGCCAGCCCTTCAAAGCCTGTGTAACACGATAAGGAGATCATTTCAATTCTTTTTAAACAACATATTATCATTCATTTTCTTCACTTTAGAATTGTATTCTATGTACTTTTACTTCCCCCCACCCCCACACACACAGTGAAGGTTTGTTTCCTACATGGCAAGTACCATTCTCTGTGGTTAGTAGGAAAGATAAGTCAGACTTGGTGTCTGCCCTGGAGGAGCTCACACTCTGGAAAAGGTTAGACAGGTGAATGGTTCAGTCACAATACTATGTGAAATAGTACTTCCTTCACTAGTACTTTCACAGACATGTGCAGTGTACCACTCTTAGTACTACCAAAAGAACAGAGGATGTTTTTGTAAGGAGGAGACAAGCTGGATGTTGAAGGATGAGCATCTTCCAGGTGAAAAGTGGTTGAGAGTCACTCCAGATGAAAGGAATTGCATGTTACAAAAGCAGGAGTTCATGACAAGCCCGATTCTTTCTAGAGAAAAGTAAGACACTCTGTGCAACAGGTGAAATTTGTACATGAATTTGAGTGGCAGGCTCTAAAAGCTGGGAAAAAA